TTTACTGCAAAATTTGAACTTATGAATTAGCAGTTTTTTACATCTTCGGATTCAATTCCAGTGTAATTTATGTTTAATAAATGGAAAGTGATGTTAATCCCAAATTAAATTGGGATAGAAATGACTTAATTAAACTGAAAAGTCAAATAAATAACTGTATAAGGAAATCACACCCAACAATATTCTGTTTCAAATTTTTATCTTGAAATACTTTTGTTATACCTAAGTTGTTATTGTGACTTATCTCACTTGTCTGACAATAACTTCAGAACAAGCCCACGAAATTTTCATCGCGACAAGGAGTGAAAGATTGCGCCTGTGAGCACCATATAGGTGACAGTACGACTTTGCTAAGATCCGCTCCCAGTTTTGATGAACAGTATGCAGGCGGGGACTGATCCCATTGTCTCCCCCTCCTCTTACCCTAACACCAACCTCTCGAGAGGACTTTCAGCTCGCAGCATATTTAGAGTGCCCCCATTCCGTACAGACACTATACATTTGCAAACATCCATGCCTTCTTCGGGATCCGAACCCGAGGCCGAATCAGAGTCACTAACTACTATCCCGGTTGGGCGGCATTAAACATTTAAACTTGGAACACTAAATTTCATAAATTTTTAAATAGTTTTTAAGCCAGTTTTTCCTTATGCTATCATAGTGCAAGGGTTAGTAGATCGAGCAGATTTCATAAAAATCCCATGTTCGCCTCTTAAAAAAAGTGCATTTGAACGGGAAAGACTTGTCCTAGTGGCGAGCATTCTCTAAATGCTCTCAAGTTAATTATATGGAAACTCTCCTGAAATTTTAATTGTACCAAAAAGATAATTAAATAACCAAGCATGTCTTCTGGCATGACATCAGAATGCATAAAAGGATTTATATATCAAAATCTATGAGTTTTGTTGAATATTAATCAGACTTCAGTCGTGTAAATAATCTTTAATCCTCGAGCTAACTTACTTTTACATTCTTAACTAAGTGACTCAGAATAATAGGTTTTATTCCTGTAAGTCTTGGTTAATATCATCTTACTTTATAAGAATGTGGCAAACAGACATTAGGAAACTTGTCTCGTCGTCTGGTTATCAAGCTTCCTAGACTAGTCAGCTTCATACTATCGCTCTTAATCTCCTCTACTTAGCAAAGGATTTGGTTAATATGTATTCATAAAAGAATCTTCCCAAGACTGTGTGCATTGTGCTTAAAGGAGGGTAAGAATTTAAAACGCATGAATCAAGACTGCATCCCTTTTGAACTTTTATGTGTATAAGAGCAAGAATAGATTATAAAAGAAAGTTTCTCGATTGTTTTATGGTCATTGCCATGACAGATTCGTGAAAATTTTGATTCCTGAATAATTCAAATGCTTAGAAATCCATAAAAGAAATTTTAGATTTTTGTTATGCAAAGTTTCTTACAATTTAGATATAAAATAAGGTTGCATTCCTGCATTTGTTAACAATAACTATTTTGAAACGTGTTTCCTAGCTAGGATAAATTAGGATTGCATCAATATTGCCTTAACATCCTACATTCGTTCCTTTTTTTATATTCTATTGCTTTTATGTCGGTATGGCAGTATTACCTCACAGATAAGAATTAATTTTATCTAGATAAAAGTTATTATTGAATATTAGGCTTTTTAATTTCTGCGTATGGAACCGTTTACTGATTTCTTTTATTACATTCTATTAGCAAGCTTCAAATGTAAAGCGTTTTAAGACTTGAAGGTATCTTAAGAAATGTTTCTTCGGCGAAGAAATGAAACATTTGTCGAAATTATAATAAGAAGCACTTTTTCTTACGCAATATTACTGTATAGAAATACAGCCTAATATTTTATTCGTTCAATTATTGAAATGTGTTTTATAATTCCGTAAAATCTAATTTATTTCATACAAAACCAAAAATTGTTTTCATGAGTTTTTGTTCATCCGCAAGTGAAGCAAATTCTAGGAAACTTATACAAAATCCTCACTTTCTTGAAGTATATTTTAACGGATACTAGGTTGAAAAGACTTAACCAAAATAGATCAATATTTAATCACTTTATTCACTCCCTTTTGTTTCAGTGTCAATCTTTCTAAACTAATTATCTTAATTCATCAAAAGGAACCAGTAGTGAATGCAATACCCTCTGGCCAAACATCGCCCTTTTCTCTTTTACTTCCCTTAAGGGACTAAGTCTATTTCAAGACTTACATCGTCTCTTCATTGTTCATTGCGCAGCAACTGAGTAAAAAGTCTTATTTAGAATTCCACGAATTTCAAGGTAATGATTTTAAACTACTGTTTTGAGAAAAGTTTGTAATCTTTGGAATAAGCATTTATTTTATTTTCTTTAAATACGTTTCAAAGGAAGTATCAAAATTAACTGTACTGTTTTTGAATAGAAAGTCGAATTTACCATATTTAAAATTTGATTTTTAATGAAATATTTAAGTGCAGAAGATGCGGTAAATAATTTTCTGAAATTTTTACCCATAAATATCAAGACCTATTCAGCCAGAATTTAGCAATTTTAGCAAATTATGTGAATTTCAAAATATCTAATTTAATACTTATCGTGATGTCCTGCGATGAGACTTTGCCATAACTAATTAACCTAACATAACCTAGCTATCTTCGAAAGAAACTATACCTACTAACAGACATTTGTCAACAAAGATTTTCCATCATCAGTAGTTGAAATCATGATGCCCGTAAGAAAATAATAGTGAAAGTTTAAAAATCTCCTTACACGAATGCAATTCGTTTGGGAAAGCTGTTCGTTATCCTTAATGTTCGTAAACCAGAACTATTCTTTCCATAGAAATTTATGTAGAATAGATTAATCCATTCCTTAAAAACAGATGATTATTTATTATAACTTCATAAAAATAACCTGTGCACAAGTTCATAACCTAAAACCGAAGAAAATCATCATATTTATGACAAAAACTACAAACACAATGTTAAACAATAGAGGAAAATATACACAGTTAAATTTTGGCGTACCCATACGAAAGGAAGGAAGACTACATAAGAGAGGAAAAAGTGATTAGGAAGGAGAAATTGTATTGATTAGCTTTCATCTTCCACTTCAGGTAAACATCAGGTCTTTCCGGGCCATCTCCTTCGGTATTTTACTTATTTGTCTTTCAGCGACACTCAGTTCTGTTTGAGGTTCAATGAGCCTTCGATTCAGTCAAAATTTAGCTAATGTAATTTGTTGTAATATACGTTTTAAAATTTTGCTTAAATGAGATATGTCATTGTCCCTAATATTTTTTTTAGAAACTCCTTATGTCCACGTTTTCATTCATACATTTCAAGCCGATGATTTTTCCTGTCAACGCAATAACATACATCAGTGTCAATGTATTCAAAATACTTGCATGAAACACAATATAATTTCCTGCAGGCCGAATTTGAGTTCCTGTCAGTCATTTTCTGTCAGACTTTCAATGAGACGTAAGCAAAGAGAAATATTACTATGATGTTCCCAGAAATCTCTAAGTATTAACTTTGTGTCTAAGGTTACCTCAAAACACATTTGAAAATCATTTGTTAGCAACTTAAGTGCTCATAACTCGAGACACAATTCGCTTTCTAAAACATTATTTCTTCAGATTTGTTTTCTTGATGCGAACATTTATGCGCAGAGATTCTGCTCGATATCCATCTCTAGCTGAAACGCGTGCTTTTAGACTAATTTGCATATTACCAATTGAGTTTCCATGTATATCAATGAACGTACTGTAGGATTCTTCGATTATGTTTTCTTTCATTTGAATTTTATTCTCTCGATCAGTTAGGTTATCTAAGCATGGAAAAGCACACGAGGACTATCTGCATAGAAGAAGGCTATCTTCATGCAGGACTTTCTAAAGGAATCTGGCTCGTATTCACATTATACGTGGGGAAACCACGCAAGCCAATCATGCACCCGGTCTGTTTCCCGAGTATCGGACGCGGGCCGAATTCCCATCACTGAGTGGTCTAAACCATTCGTTTTCATGCCGAACCGGAGAATTTATCGTGTCGTGGAGAAGCATAAGAGAACCGCAAAGTCTTTTCCAGTGTTTTTCTCACTACTACATAAGATAAAACTTCGATAACCTGCCACGCATAAATCAAAATTTTAATGAGCTCACTATTTTCATCTAAATATCTAAGCAATCAGGATTACTGAATGACATAGGTTGCCGTAGTCCGCTTAAAAAATTAAGTATCCTATGGACTTAAGACTAATGGAGAATGAATCCGAATTCATCGGTAAAATTCTCTTACTATCTGCTACGAGCCCTACACTATTTAAGCCAACTAATTGCCTTTTATGGAATAAAACTTAAGAAATATATATTCTAGCATAATATACGGTGCAGACACTCGCTCGTCCTTTAAAATTATTATGAGATGTTCTTCCAGTTGCAAAAATGGTCAGCTACAAGTTCAGGCACAGTCGTGTGACAGTCATTCTCTTACGTGTTTAAAGGACAAAAATATATAATTTACTAATGATTAGTAGATGACCTGGCATGTTCTACTTGACAGTGAATCTTCAACTCAAAACTGACAGTGCAGTTCCTAGATGGTCGTAGTTAGTGTATATTTAGTTAACTTGCTATTTTAGGCACTAAGAACTAATATTAGTTCATTGTGTAATTCTCAAAATTGCTCTAAATATTAATTAAACTGAGTGTTGAGTTCAAAAAAAAAAAAAAAAAAAAAAAAAAGAATTACAAGATAGGATAATTACATATCCTTAAACATTTTAGGGGGTTATTGAACTGCGTTTGTTTATATATTCTAGTATTTAACATTTTCGCAAAAAAGTTACAATTATTTACTCATTCTTGTTATGATAAGTGAATTAGTATTCCAAATAAAAATTATATTTGAAACTTGCTTCTTTGAAGTCGTTAGAAAATTCATTTTTTCCTTCGTTATATTTGAGATAATTGCATATTTGAAAGGAGTACATAATAATATTTTTTAATATTTATCGATTTCAGAAATACCAGTAGTTCACGCTATAGCTTGGACTAAGGCCTTCATTCCTTGTAATGTACCAACTCCTTTGAAAGATGACGAGGCTTCTCTCATCTTGTGGTACAGAATGGATATGCCGAACCCACTGTATACGCTGGATGTGAGAAACAGACCTATCGAAAGTGCCCTCCATTTTCCATCAGTCGAAATGCTGGATAGAATCTACTTTGATGTCGCCGCCCATCCACCTGTGTTAATCTTGTCACCTGCCCAGCCTGGGGACAAAGGTGACTACAAGTGTCGTGTTGATCTCAGACGTTCAAGGACACTCTTGCTTCACATCAGACTCAATATCATAGGTGGTATCCATAATCATAAAATATTGCTTAAATAGGTGATTTAAAGATTGCAAACAGAAATTTTGAGTTCTGTTCATTAAAATATTGCTCAGTTAGAAATTTTTATACATTATTAATCAAAACATTATAACTGATTCCCATTGCAATTATAGCTAATTTACTTACAATTACCAAAAAAAGGAAATTCAATATAAAAATTAACACAAATGAACTTGGAGCAGGTTTTCTCATGTCTTCAGTAGGAAACAGTGCAAACTTCCTCATTAAAATACTAGACTGTTGTGCAGAAATATTTCTTAAGCTTCTAGAGCAGCGATTCTCAACCGGTGGTACGCAACAGAAAAATAGGTTATACACAAAAGAAGCAGAGTATTTTTTACTATTAAGTTCAAAGTCCTCGTGAAGGAAACGAACAACTGATGGAAATTTCCTGCGATCGAACTCGCACTGACGATTTCAAAAATAACACACTCGTTAACGTTTGGCTGAACCGAGGAAAAGGCATCTCAGATAAAGCTATTACATTTTTATTGCCTTTTTACACAACCTATTTGTATAAAGAAAGATTTTCTTCCATATTATATATGAAAAATAAATACGGAACAAACAGTGGATCCTAATTTACGGTCAAAGCTAAGGGAAATAAGGCCAGAAATATGTGAATGAGGCCGTAAAGAAATTGATCTTTCTTAAACAGACCCCAATTTCACACTAATTTTAGAATTTAAATATTATAACTTAAAATTTTGATAATTAAAATAGTAACAAATTTTTAATTTAATATTTTTATGCGTGCATATTTAATACAAACATCCAATAAGTTGTGCAAATGAAAATATATATATTTAATATTTCTATTGAGAATTTGAAAAATAATCATTGTAAAATGCAGTGGTGGTACTAAAGGTTTTCAGTTTTGGGGTTAGGTGGCACGCTTTAGTCAAAAGGTTGAGTACCGCTGTTCTAGAGTATCCAAATTTGAAAGCGAATTAGTGTGAACAATGATTGTGGCTTCCAAAAATCAAAACTTGTTTTTTTTTTTTTTTTTTTTTTTTTTTTTTTTGTTTTACAGATTCACAGTGTGTATTTTTCAGGTATCTAATGTGTTCGTTACTTCGAATTTTAAAGACACTTTGTTAATGATATACCTTTTCTAACACACTGCATTTGGCGATTTTTTTTCCTTTTCCTTTGTCCTAATTTTTATACTGAACTATCTTTTTATTTATAGTGTAAACTGCGTAAAGTTATGTGTTTAATTTATTTACATAAGTATCTAGAAATAACTAAATAATTTAATTGTATCAAAATTCTATGTTACAATTTCTCTCTAAAAGTCACATTTACATATTGTAAGTAAGAGTAATACATAAGTAATTCTAAATGCAAATATATGCACATATTTACAATATTATATGCGTACATATTTTTTTTTTTAATATTGCATGCAAAATATTGACAGCCCTTCGAGAATTGTAATTTATTGACCATGAAATGCTGCAGATATTATCAAAGTATGCTGTTGTAGCATCTCGCTTGTTCGGCCTACATATTAGGCCTAATTAGATATATATGCAAACACATATATATCTAATGTAACCTAATCTGATCAAGTCCACGAATTTTATCGTGTCAAGGAAAGCAAGATTCCGTCTATCATTGGCATGGGCCTTGAGCACCACCGGTGACAGTAGAACTAAAATTAGTGAAATAATTAGTAATAGATATTTTAACTACCAAAACTGTCCTTATAATAACATCAGGAATACTCAATTGATTAATAATAAGATTATAATTTCTACTTTTGCATCATTTTCATGCAAGGGTTTCATGTAACAGTGTTCAACAAAGTATACTGTAATGAAGCATTTATGTTAAGATTTTGTCATCTAAGCAAGTCATATGCATAGTTACATGATATATATACTTTCATTTAAATTTCATTTTATTTAATTTTAATGTTCACAAATTTATTTCAAAATCCCTACATCAGAAGTCATTGCACTGTATTCATATCATTAACACACAATTGTTTTTAATTTACCAACTAATTTTGGAAGCTAAATAGAAAGGTTTTCAACATTCAAAAATGAATAATGATCCCAGAAACTTATTCCTGTAGAAATTATTTTGCATGGGCAAAATAATACGTATGTGTTTTATAAATCTCTAACTGAATTCTATCTTTGATAAAAACAAACGAAATGCACTAGAAAATAATTTGCTTTAAAATTTATGGTAAATACTTACTTTAAGCTATTATTCAACAATTTGTTAATTTCTATTGTCTATTTAAATAATTTTGTATAATTCATTATTCAAATAAATATGCATTTTCCATTAGAAAACTTGATTTGATCGAAGTATTGCTGGTTTCAGAAATTATATTTATAACATTTAGTAAAAGGCCGTGCTATAAATTTAGTAATTTTAGTGATATTGTTGCATTAACAAATGTATTCAGGTAGTGCCTAAAATACAAATCAGCTACAGATCTGTTAAAGTAAGAAATATTCCTTATAATAATTTCATTCTAAAATATTTGATAAATGACCTACCAACAAACCTTCATGGCAATCGTAAAATTTTAGAGGGCCCAGAAGAAGTGCAATATCGAAAGTAAGCATTCTTTTCTTTTTCGTGTCTGTGTGTGTGTGTGTACGTGTGTCGCACAAAGTGGAATACGATATAAACTCGAGCAGTAGCTAAGTGCTAAAGATCGTGGAATGCTGGGAGGTTGACCCGGTGTCTATCCCAGGCAATGGGATGCATAGTTGGTTTTCGTAGTTTTCCCCATGATAACGTGATACGACCCAGTCCTCTCGAGAAAATCCTCCATGAAGACAACAACTGTCCTAGGCAGATAAGCCTTGCACATAATAGCTGCCTGCCATATACAAATAATCTTACCTAGTATATTTTAAAAGAGTTATTGTTCACGGATATTGCAGATTAATTATTTATAATATTATACTTTTCCATAAAGATATATTCATCAATGCTTCTTTTATTCATTTTCATAGTATAAAAAAATTGATTTCTTTCAACAATGAAACTAACTAATTAATTCTATTTTAGAAACATTTTAATGAAAAAGTATAATTTTTGTCCATATGCAGTACTCCCAGAAGATCCTATAATCATGGATGAATACGGTCAACACATGCGAGGTGTCATTGGGCCTTATAATGAAGGAGACACGTTAATACTGATTTGCGATGTTGATGGAGGTATCTAATACGTCTATTTCAGATAAGTCATTTTTGTCTCATCTAAAAACGTTTCTTTTAGATATTGTTTCCGAAATGTAATACTAATAATGAATAGTTTTTAGTTCGAGTAATTAACGATATATAAATGCAAACAGAAGTTCATATAGAGTTAGTAAATTTCATAAGGTATTTTTCCTCTCCTTGCCACGTGCTGTTGTACTGTAATTGAATCACTTCAGGCTAGCAGTTCGAAAGTCCTGAGTTCGGAGCATGGAGAGGGCTTTGCTAATTTTTCTTGTTTTTTACTTCGATAAATACCAGTTGCTCTGAAGGTTTAACAAACGAAGCTAAATTTCCTCTCATTTACCTGACCCTGTTCTTGATATTGTTGCGTGCATACGAGTTCGTAATAGATTAAATGCAGAAGTTCGATTTAAAAAATTTAATAAAATATATTCTTCCCACAAGAAATATAGCAAAGCCGGAATTTCCTCAGAGATATTCGTACAATATCACAATATCACGCAATGTAATCAGTACCTATACTTTAAACTATTAAAACGTTAAATAGAAAGCAATCCACAGCGAAGAGAAAGCTAATCCGATCAACAAAAAAATACAGCAGTTAAGTAAACAACTGAGATGAGACATGAGACATGACTTTATTATGGCGTGCATAGCTAGTAAATCAAATTAGGTTTTTGCCGGCTCAATAAAATACAGATGCACTATGGTGGTAAAAGTAGAAAATTACGTGATCTAGAAATTACACATCATAAAGTTGAAAAAAGGGGGCCAAATCATGACTACCACTAGAGGAGAGTTTGCCTTGAAGCTGCAGAGACGTGCGAAGCTCGAGAGGTGGCACTTGACTTGAGAGAGTTAGTCCATTCTTCGTTCTGAAAATCCTGAAAGGCGAGTTACAGATTTTCTATCATGTCAATGAACTAAAATGCGAGTTGTAAGTTTTCCTCTTGAGAATTCCTCTTTTTCAGGAGTAACTGATGCACGCGCAGTAGCCTTAACATCTGAAGATACATTCTTGGGTTTAGAGTCTTTTTAGTGGGATTTTTAGTCAACACTGGTGTTGATTAACATTAGATTTCCTCGGACAAATTTTGGGAAAAACCTCGCATCACATAGCTACATGCGATTTTTGGCATCTTACGCATGTAGGATTTTCTTCGTTTTAATGTGCAAGTGTAGGTAAGATGATTACGGCCACACTTAAGACATATCGGTGACTTATGGAGTTACATGGGTTTCACCGAGTAAAAACGGCGTATTTTCAAGATTTTTTTCATATAATAAAATGAAATATTTAATTCAATTTTTTTATTATCTTAAAAGTACATATTTAATAAAAAATTTCTGAAATTTTTGAAAAAAAATATTAAAAACACCGCCATTGTGACGTCATTCCCGGCGAGCCCTCGGAAAAAAGGTGCATTCGTGTTGACAGCAGAGCTCCTAGCAGGATCATCTGAAGTGAAAAAAAAAATCCGTGTTTCAAACTAGAAATTGGACGAAGGAAAAAAAATGAAAATTAAATGTTTGACAGCGGTTTTTACATAATGCAAAATTCGATAAAAATTTCATGGCATTTTGAAAAAAAAAATAGTTGTAATTGAAAAACAAAATCCTTCGTCCAAGTCCTTGTAAATTGTATCTCGAAGACCTGTTTAAAATTTCATCGAGATCGGTGGGGTAGTCTTCGAGAAATCTTGACAACCGACTTTAAAAACACAGTTTTGAGAAAAACGCGTTTAAAGTTTACTCTTCCATTACACAATGTTTCTTCACCTTCACTTTCAATGACGTTTGAACACCGCTCAAAACACGACAGCGATGAAAAAACAAGATAAAAATCTATGATGGAATATTGGAGCGAGGCTTCCTCTGGCACGTGCTCTTTATTTTCACCTTTCAATTTTTTTTGCTGATGTGCTCATGTTTGAATCATCATGCTGCTCAGGATTTTTAGGATTGAACGACTGTCTCCGTTTCTTGGGTCGATCTTTTCTACGAGCACTGTCCGCTAATTGAGATCTTGAAACTTTGGGCATTTTTAAATATAATTTACTTTGGACACTTATAACCTCAAAATAAACCTCGTGGTTCAACAAGTGATCACCAAATGAAGTATTCCAACTAGTTGCCCTTAGAAAAAGAGAAAAGTAGCCATAAAGGACAAATGAACAATAGGCGAGCTGCTTTTTTATACCTGCGGCAAGCGGAGCCCAGGTAGCCTTGAGCGCGCCACTTCAAAAGGCTGTATCTCCGAAACTATTACTCGGATCAACTTGAAATTTTCGGACAATATTCGAGAGATGTTGTAGATTTTAATAAGCCAAAAAAATCGATGTTTTGAACCCGTGAAACCCATGTAACCCCTTATTGCAGAATAATTGTCCGTGCCCAAAATGCTGACAACGGAAACATATCATAGTGCTTCTATTAGATCTGATTTGCGAATTTTAACATGCAAGCTCAATATCGTCTTCCTTTTGTAAATAGTCCTGGCTATATCATTAGGTATCACTAACACGAAAAATACAGGCAGCTTTTCTTCTGAATCAGCAGTTGTTTTCTTAGTAAACTGAGTGAGTTTAATCACTCGGAAACCATCGTTACACAGTTCATACTTGATGTCTTCATCGTCAGAAGTCTTCTGATAACCCTCTAATGACAACTTTAAGAGGTGAGTCCTTTTTTAGTCGAAACGTACTAAACTGAAGGTCCTTTTTAAGAAAAATAGTGAGCGCAAGCTCGCGATTTGCAGCGCTATCAAAAATCATAGTGATATTGTCTCTCGTTAATATTCCCGTGTAATCATTTACACCATGATGGGTCAAAAGGCTTCAACTTCACTCCAAGACACTTCCGGTCGGGGACAGATGCTCAGCGGTACCCGTTCTTTACTCTGATTCACTGAAGTGGTGTGGTGACAATCTCAGGAAGATAAGCGACGCTAAACTCATGCTTTTCAGTTTTCGCCTGAAAAGCATAAGTTTAATTTGAAAGTTATTCCTCAGTGCAATCCGTTAGATTTTCGGAGGCAATAAATGCTTGTAAGGCTTCAAATTTATTTTAAATAGGAATAGTAGTTTCCATATTAGTAGTCTTAAGCTCAGCAGCAGTGATAGCTTTCTTCGGAGCTGGAGACAATTTTACAGATTTTCTATGCAGGACCATTATTACTATTATTTCTACCCAGGATTACCGCATTATTATTATGATTTAGAAGTTATGATGCTTGCAGTATCACTTTAAACATCAGCATGGGTGGTCTGACACTTTTTCTAGGATTTGGGGGAACATACTTCAACAAATGGGTCGCAGAGCGGTCAGCCCAATCAGGATTTTTAAAAGGCCGAATATCGTTGTCAAACGTCTTTAAGAGGAAAATAAAATTCTCCTCAGCACATTCAAGTAGATAGTCAAGCGGGTAGCCATCATGAACGTTTCTCTGCAGGCAAGCAATCTCATTCAGTCGATCGAAATAGATAGTCTTTATCAGCTTTACCTAATTCTTTAATCAGGCGTCTAGCGTGAGGCACATCAATCGGAGAATGCGTCATTCTTTTCTTAGGCATGATTCGTGAAAATTCGACAGGTACGTAAGTGAATAAACCGTGGTTAAACCAGTTTGAGCCACAGAAACACAACCTTCACTCATGAAGGCCATCCATTACCTTCGTTCTACAAATTTTTAAATCTCTCTTAACAACTCGCAACAACAGTCATAAACCCTGAGATGAGATATTTTCTCTCTGGCCTTTTATAGCTTTTTAAATCGGCCGCGCGAAACAATTCTAGCAATTTCTGGAAAGCAAAAAGAGTAAAATTAAGGTTACAGCTAATCTAGCAGTCAATTACATTTATTCGAATTAAATATCAATCACAGAGATAAATTTTAATCAATGTTAACGTGCTCTTGTATTTTTACTTTTCCGGCGTAGCTTTCTCTTAAAGTTTGTCGCGCCCTGCATTGCACGGGGAAATAAAACAATTTTAATTATAATTCCACTAAAAATATCTAACTAAATATAAAATTCGTAAAAATATCATATTTATGCGCACTTAAATGAGTAGATAATAATAACTGTAGTTTACATCTGTACTTACTTTGAATTTTATGAACTTTTTATTCGTTTTCTTTTGTTTTCATTATCTTGCAGTGTGAATATATAGATACAGAAATACAGACTTATAGAATAAGTATAAACACAAAGAAATACGTAGATTTAGTGTGTTGCTAATTGCTTTTAAAAGACTTGCGATTTAATACACATATATATTTTTGTGATTATTTCTTACAACCTTTGAGTAACCCATTCCAAACTGAGGACATATTCAGGAAATTCAGCCTTAGTGATCACATATATTCACAGGTCTTATATAAATCGGACATTGATATTTAGGTCAAAAGGAATTTACAGACTTCGCAATAGGGCAAGTTTCATCTCTTTGATGTTTTGTTAATGCATTTCTCTTGCACAGAAATAATACTCCGTTGAAGAATGTCAGTATCTCCATGGAGATTTTAGATTATATATCCTCATAACTACGATGATATTAAACAGACGAAACATCCTTAATCAAGCTACCCACGTAAAGGACATTCATAATATCTGAATGCAAACATGATCAGTATATATAATATAAACCAAAAGAAATTAGCCTCAAATACATCTTTCACCTACATAAATAGGAAAAAATAAAGGATATTTAGGCAATTCTTTTGTCTATTTATTTATGATTTTAATAATAGTCAAACTTCTAAAATAAAGTGATTATTATAGTCCTTTAAATGCTTTATTCCTGAAAGTCATTGTCTTTCAGTAGGAATTTCTTAGCGTTTTCCAGTAATTTTGGTAGTGGAGCATATTAATTTTAGTGAATTTTGTGAATTTGTGCAAACATATTCATGAATTACGATCAGTATTACAGTTAGTAGTTACAGAGAATGCCTTTAATAAGGCTTCATTTCTATTTTAGACCTATTTCAGGTTAAAATTGTAAATTGGGCTTATTTTTGTTAACACCTTCCTTTGATATAATAATATTACTTCATCGAAGCGACTTAACATATCTTTAGATCTTTTAAATTGTGTATCTGCATAACGATAAAGATATTAATGGATTTAAACAGAGTTAATTAAATCTGGCCATACGAACGTGATTTGTTATTTACCAGGTCTTCGAGCCGGAACTAAAGCGAAAAACCGGAAAAAACCATTATTTTGGTAGGAATGATTACTGGAACTAAATCGAAAAATAAATACCGGTTTATTTCGGTTCGGTATATCTTCAAGTATTTTATTACCGTAACAAACTTATCAATATTTTAATTTAACGTCGACCATATAATTATCATTCTTACATGTACATTGCTTCTCGATTACTAATACTTGTACTACTACATGAAACTACTTGTAGAAGGCCTATTTAATTCAATTGAATGAATTAGAAGTATAGATGATTTTTAAAGAAAAATATCAGTCTGAGTTATATTTTTCGCATCTCAGCTTGCGATCATCCACGGATGTTTCTAAAGACTGTTTTTAGAAACATCCGTGGATGATCGCAAATAGACAAACCAACTGCTCAGCAGGAAAATAGACAAACCAACTGCTCAGCAGGAAGTATCCAGTGCGGCGCCGCCCTATGAAAGAAAGGGATTGTAATATCCGCGTAATAATATGCATCTCTGTCTAATTGGTCAGGAGAGGTAAAAAGGGCTAGTGACAGACGGTATTAATTCATTGAGAGTAAGTACAATTGTCAACTAGAAGTAAATAGTCAAATTTTGCTTTCTACGTCGCAAAACGTAAAGGCTGTGCTACGTTTAAAGAATATTTGGAACAAATTGCAATTTTTGGAAAAATTTATTTCAATCCTAAAGAAGGAAACACAGTCTTCTACTGAAAGCGATGAAAATGAAGACGATTTAGAGACTTTTTGAAAAGTAAAGAATTGGCAATAAAAACACATAGATACCTTATCTGTACCGAAATTGACATTGAATTCATTTTAAATAATTTTGACAATGTACCAAGGCTCGATATAAAACATAATATTTTAGATTTCTGGGAAGAGAATAAAATTTTCTTTAAAGTAATTTAGAGGACTTTGAAAATTTTAGTTACATAGATAATACTAACTTTAAAAACTAACTTCTCTTACCTATTTTTCTTTCAAAAATATAGTTATATGTAGTACAAAAGGTGGTTAATCTTTCTCTATTTCGGTTCCCCTGTTAGAATTCCATGACAATACATACAAATAGACAGAAACGAAACAAACAGTTATAAGGTATTTTTCCCACTTCCCTAGCGTGCCTTCATGGTGTAACGATAGCACGTTGGTCCGGTATTTCAGAGGCCAGTGGTTCGATTCCTGGCAAAGGCGGTTGCTAATTTTTCCTCTCTCTGGCTTCTAAAAAAATCCTAATGACTTTACAGTGGCGCCCGAACTAAAAGGGTTGTGGATGATAATTCTCCGCACCCAGGATTTGGCGACTAGGTCCCCTAAAATCCTAGTCTCCCTTTAAAAAGGGGAGTATATAAGGTATTTCTCCCACTTCCCTGGCGTGCCTTCGTGGTGTAACGGTAGCACGCTGGGCCGGTATTCCAGAGGTCCGTGGTTCGATTCCCAGCGAAGGCGGTTGCTAATTTTTCCTCTCTCTGGCTTCTAAAAAAAATCCTAATGACTCTACACAGTGAGCAAGTTATTTCGTTACAGTAGAATTCTCAATTATGCCATGTAGAGAGAATCACCTCGTAGTGAATGAAAGAATAAGATATGAAGAACGTGATGCAGTGCAATTATTTATCACGAATTATTGGAGTTAACAGTAGATTCCAACTGTTTTTCTTCTCTTAATATTTCATTAATTCTGTGTTGGTTACTTTATACCACATGTGACGTTCTTATATGTTCAAAATGTGTTTTGTAAGAGCTTCAATACAGCATACATGTCACACAAATAGCAAATGCACTGAAGGAAGCATCCAAACACCATGAAACTTCTTGTGTTATACCACGATGGCATGTGCAAATGATTACGATTTCAACGCAAACTCACATCATGCGAAATTGCTGCGTTCCTAATAATGAGAGGGAAAATTGTCATTTGAATAATTTGAATGTTTCTATAGTGAGATTTTTGGCAATGTGTAGCTTCAGCATGCCTCTTAGAAAAACACGAGCCACTCTTAGAAAAACTCGAGCACGTTTCTGAGTTCAGCTGAGGCAGAGCAGTTGCATATGAAGCCGTATTACGAATCAGCCTTCCGGGAAATAATTTACCGTGTCGGATGTAGCCGTGCAACAGCCATGTGAATATGGAACCGATAGATGCAGGATGGAAAGACTAATGGGGCAGGAGCAATTGTAATCCCTTCTCCGAACTACTTCACAGGAAGATAGGCATATTGTGGAGATGAAGTGATGGAATGCACTGCCACATCCGCAACCATGTCACAATGAATGCAGCTTATAACAAAACAATCGGGTCTGCAAGAACAATTTGCCACCATTGACAATATAATGGACTGTCCAGTAGACATCTATTACTTCTCTTACCTTTAATTTTAAACCACAAGAGTTTGCGTTTGCAATGATGCACTGAACGTAAGAGATAGGCATCCAAATGGCATGACATTATTTTTTCCGACGAATCACTCTTCTGTCAGCAGTACCATGATGGTTGGATTTGAATTTGGAGAAAGCGTGGAGAAAGCCTTCTCGACTGCTGTGTTATACATCGTTGTGTGGGAGGGTGTTGAATTCTACTCCCACAGCCCCTAGTACGCATGACGCATACACTAATTAACCAACGCTATACCTCTGAGGTTTTGCAGTCTGTTCTTGTTCCTTATCTTCAGGGCTTACCTGCGGCCACATTTTAATGTGCAAATACACATTGCATGATATGTTCAAGCTTTTTGCTTAGTCCATCACATTGTATTACTACCTTGGCCTGCCCGTTCTCCACATTTATCGCCCATCTAATCAATGACTGGATCACACCTGGCTGGGCATGAACCACTGCGGGTATACCAGATGAACTTTGGCTACATGAGGAGGCAGCATGGGCTGCCATTCCCCAACAACACATCCAAAGTCTCTTTCATTAAATGCAACAGCGTATAGCAGCGTTATTGACAAACGTGGAGACAACACTCATGAGTGATTTTTCTCGTCTTCCTCACTTCCAAAAAGATTGTATTTCAAGTCAATTATCATTGATGCTGTGCGTAAACTTTGAAATAAATTGGCTTTATTAGCCCTTGTCCTTCTTTGTATTGCATTTTGGACGGCCTGCAGTGTATGTCATCATAAGTAGTTTATTAATGTCTGACGCACTAATATTAAAACCAAATAAAACGACGCAATAAAATGTGTGTTTGCTACAATTATGCAAATTAAAAGTAATTTAGAATGCGAGAAATAACTAAAATCTGCAAAACGTACTGTTATACTTCTAATTCGTCACCTTTGAGATTTTGTAAGGAAATATGAACTTAAGGACATTCAGGAATAAATTTTTAATTAATAAATATATATGCTATCACATTCGAGCCTAAGGTTTCAATGAAATTCTAATTAGAGAAAATAATTGTTGCCATTCAACATATTATTTAATTCTGACAATTTTGAATCTTATCAGCTTCTGTGTCTTTTATTTGAGTTCTATAGCACATATTTACGAAAGTGTATTTTCGTCTTCTGTATAAAATATAAGTAGTGTAATTTGTGCACTCTGACTAAGATTACTGTCAATTATGTCTCAATGAATTTTATTCAACCTTAAAATCTGGAAATGAAACAAATTATGTTCGTCAGAAATAAAACTAGAAGCTGTGACAAAATATACACTAATGATTATTTTCTAATATTTTGAAAACGAATTTATAATTTTACATATTTCTTTCCCTACATGTAGGTGATCCATCTCCATCTGTACAGTGGTGGCGAGGGAATGTATTAGTGGATAATAATTTCACTATCACATCCCGCGGATTCGTGCGGAACGAAATGGTGTTGCAAGAAGTTCAGCGTTCTGATTTTATGATTGAATACCGTTGCGTTGCTTCTAACACAAACTTGACAAAACCTAAAGCTGCAAGTGTGATTTTGGATCTAAACTGTAAGTCAGTTTCCTTAGGTCTCATATATATTCATAGAGCAGAGTAATACAAAAACAGTAAATCTTTTAAACGTTGCATTTCAGAAAATTTACAAAAATGGTAACGCAAATTAGCAGACATGTACATCAAATTGTAAATTTCGTTTTTTAAAAATTTCGCAATGAAAATTTGTCATTTCAGGCATACCTAATAGATAACGTAGTACCTTGGAATTTTAAATGTAGATACGTGAATCTGCTTTGGGACTATCGCTGTTATAGGTCAGTAATGAGCTAGTTTAATATGAAACAGTATTATTCTTATTTTGAATAGAAGAATGTCACTGAATTTTATGGTATTTATATAAGATGGACATCATTTTGCTTCTCCTATAAAATATAAGTAGATATAAAATATAAGTTTTTTTTTCAAGTTTCTGAGAAAATGTAAGGATAAACATTTATTTTTGGCGTCAGTGTCATCCACTTCTGTAGACCTAAAACTAAGCCATTTTGGCTACGCAGCTGCCAGAAATCAAGGTTATATAAACTACTATTCGAAAAATCACTACCTATTCGAAAAATCACTGTCTAGTTAGCGAATAACCTTTTACTATATGCTATGAGTGTTTGCTTATGCTCAAGTGGTAATCAGCAAAGCGGATTGCTACATTCAGTATTTAATATGAAACATACTTTTTTCTCTTACGGATAAATGTCCATCTGATGGATGCAGCAATAATAACAAGATACGCATAGTAACATTCTTTAAAATATAACCTGTAATTAGATGTATTTATAGAATAAGTGTATAGATATGCATTGGAAATTGATCAGAATATAACTATTTTCAATGTTTGCTGATATGTGTAACATCCATGTGTAGTACTATAGGCAAACATTTAAGACTTGTACTTATTTAATTGTAAATATTTCAAGTGGAGAATTCAAAGATGTCTAAATATCAAAATTGAACTAACATAAATTATATTGTAGATTAGTTTACTCCTTTTGGAGTCTGACAGGGTGTATAATTTGTCAGAAAATTTACGTAGTGATTGAACCAAAACTATAGGAAAGAGGCAATTAAGTATCAATACGAATGTTTGCGAAGCTCCTTCGATTTATATGCATGTTTTAATATGAATGATTACAGATCATATTTTTAGGAATATTAAAATTATTGTATGCTAGAACAAGATTATTAAGAACATGCTAGGAATATTATTCCAGATCAGCGTTGTTAGTGTAGCATATTACTCAACTTCTGCTGATAGACGTACGGAAGATCCTCAAAAATAATTGTAAGCTAGTCAGCTGCACCTTTGGTGGCGCAATCAAATTCTCTCAGGGGGTAGAATCTGAAAATCATAAATGAAACCATCATACTACCACATTTCAATGGGCCTAATCTCGTTATGGCACCCTCCTCAATACCGTAATTTCAAGAGGGTTTTCAGATGCGGGAATTCTAAATGACCCCACTTCACAGAGATACTGTAATACGAAATCCTACATTTCCTGTGTTTCAAACTCAAGCTTATCACGTGAAAATGTCTCCGGTGATTATCATATCAGCTGAAATGGATAAATGATATTTTAATATTTTTCTGAATTATATTCATTATTGTAATCATGTATGAGATGTTTAACATAATATCTAAACATATCAAAATTAAAATAAGAATTGATGGTATAACAAACTTGAAAAATAAAAATGCGAAAGGGAAAATATACAAAATTATAAAAATATACAAATTATAATAATTATAAAATTAATCTCTCTTTACTGAATCCGCAGTTCAGAACTCACCAAGGGAAAATGAATTAAACCTTCCGAAATGTCGATTTATATGTTTGGAAAACATGTTTCGTTCTCCTAGTTCATTTCAGATCGAAAACCCAAATTTTCAACTAAGACATAAAATTCATATAAAACATTAAAATTGAATCTCAAATTTACCAGAAATCTATTAAAATCTCTTAAGTCTTCTAACTCTATCAGATTTATTTCCACGAATTATTACTATTACTTCCAAAGAAGAATGGCAGTTTTATTGCAATACTTCCAAAGGAGAATGGCAAGTCCTTTTTAATAACTACATTGCATTTAATAATGTTTTTTTTAAAACAAATCAACGGCATCCCGATGGGAACTAGCACTAGTTCAGCGATTTATAATTTGTACCTTTCACCAAGGAATTTCATTTCCAGTAACAGTTATATCAAGTACAACGTTCGTATTACTGTAACATTTACAGGTACAGGGACGATATTATTGCCATCAACAACTTCAATCAAATAAAATACGATCACATTTATCCTTCATATTTAAAATTCAATAACACTAACTTCAACAAAGACATATTAATTACCTAGGTTTGCAAATTACGAATTTTAAAGATATTAAAATTTATGACAAGAGATTTTGATTTCAATACTATTAAACTTACCCATCGGCACTCTAATATTAATACCACACATGCTCAGCTCCTTAGAATGAAAAGTATTTACCGTAGTGTCGAATACTTACAAGGGGAAGTCACTAACTTAATCAAAATTATCTTAGAGAATAAAACACCTCTATTCAAAACTTCAATATCCTTAAAAAAAGCTGGTATTAACTACATTTTTTAAAATTCTCATCTCAATTGATATGATAATTATTACTTAAACTCTAATCGGAGGTAATAGTTGGATGAATACGATAAAAGATTTAATGTAAATATGTACAAACATCTTGTTTCTCTTCCATTTTAATCATTATTTATACTACGCGTTTAATATTTTGTAAATTTAATAATTGGCAAATCTTGCTTTTACTAAAAAAAATGGGGCTTCTAGTTTCAAAGACCTATTGTACCCCCAATTACTTGAAGACTTTTATCTTCTATAACCTATATTTTTCCTTTTTCTCAACTTTGAGCCAATTCTGTTTTCGCGTGTTAAGATTTTACAGAGGACAGCATCTTTTACAAGTTTTTTCGCCGCAAATTTGAAGTGACGATCACCCTCCTGGTCCGTAATAATTTTTACAGACAGCACCGAACTTTTGACTTCCCCACGCTCATAATTTAAAAGGATAGGACATATTGAACACATTTTAAAATACTTAGTTTTGCTATTAAAATACTTTGAACATTATTGCATACTTTTTCCAAGAACTATATATTTTTGCTCCTCAAAAGCAGCTTTGAATTCTACTTTCTTTTGCAAGGAACACAGTTTGGTCGTTTAAAGAATTTAACTAGTTTATGTTTATGAAGTCTCTTAAGAATCCTTATTGATTATAAATTTACTTTTTTTCCACTTTTTGTTTGAAATAGATGTTCAGTTTTTATTTGTTGTTTAAGGCTCTGATTAGATTTTATTAAAAGTTTAGCTTAGCATAATCGGGGACGACGCAATTTCTGAGTGTTATTTAAATAAAAATTTGCTTTAATGTATATTTGTTTTGCTCTTTATTTGTAATTGCTTCTGAATTTCGATTTCGCATATAATGATTTTAGACAAAGTTCTTTTTTTGAATGGTTAATTTTCATAAAATTTAATTACAAAAAATTTATTAATTTGCATACTTATTTTAGATGCTTTAAGTTTATTTTACTTCAGTCTTGCAGCTATACTGCTGGATGGGTCTAAAACATTTTTATTTTTAATTTTAGCCTATTGTTATGTTTCTTTTCATACGTATCTAATAATAGAAATAAATATTATGTTTTGGCAACAGATTCCTACTATACTCACAATCAAGTTCACTTCAATTTTGTTCAAAAAATACACATAATGATTTTTAAAAGTAAACGTCGGAAGCAATTAGTAGGTATAAGCTCAAAATAAGTAATTTCAAAATAATCCTTTCTGGTAATAAAAGAGCAAAGCAACTTAAACAGCTTTTAATCTTTAAACGATTTTAAGCAATCCCACTGTCTCTAATGTATTTTATATCATTTATTAAATTTATTAAATAAGTGCTTTCTCTTAACTATGAAAATGCTATTACGTTTTCTAAAAGCTTCGTGAAGTAAAATGATTATATTTAAAGAGCTTCCAAAATGCTCAGTTTCGAACCAGAGAAAAACTTAAAGCCTGTTGATTTTAAAACTAAATCTTAAATTGAATCGATTAATATAATCAATCACAATTAAATTCTTATTACCATTTTTAATCATTTGTTTTAGGATTGTGGAACTCCATTTAATGTATTTTATAATACATTCATTCATTTGACTACATTCAAGTCAACATTCGAAGCATAAATGCCATTTTGATTATTTTTCTTCCCTCCTTCAAAGGATTTAGTAATATTTATATTCCTCTGCTTATGACATCATTTCGTTTTTGAGTAACATTCTGAGAGTCTGAAAACGCTCTTTATTCCATGATACAATATCCTGGTTTTCAAAAATATATTAGTTGGTATTTGAAGAAAAATGTTACTATGAGGGAAATTTTACTTGAAATATTTCTTGTTATCAAATTTTACAGTATATTAATAGTTTATTAAAGTATTCCAAATTTTGTCAGAAAACGATGTACTTTAAAATGAATTTGTCAGAAGACGATGGACACTAAAATTAAGAAAATAATCGTATGTAAATTCATTTAAGTGTAAAACAAATCAGTTGCAAAAGAAATATTATCGTATGTAAATTCATTTTAGTTCCAAAACAAATAAGCTGAAAAAGAAATATTACCGTACGTAAATTCATTTTTGTAGCAAAACCGAATTTCCAAAACAAAATATTAGTATTAAACTAAGCCAACGTTTTCAAAACAGAGTAACTTATTAAATTCTTAATTAACGTATAACACAAATTTAGGTTACCTAAGTTCCTTCCTCCTTAAGAATGATAGAATATACGAATACTTTATTGTAAAATGTTTCTATCAGCTGTGTCACATGTGTGGTATAATAAATGATATTACTGCACCCTTGATTTGATTTTGTGGTACAGCCGTTAAGTTCAATTTCCTGAATAAATTGTGTACACTTTCTATGAATGATGTAAATCTCCCGGCTAAAATTAAGATCCATTCAGGATAACATTTAAAATTAATTTTATTACCTGCCTTCTTCTGTTCTTTTATTTAAACATCATTCAAATTTGTCTTTAACATACATTATTGGAATATTCATTGCGAAAGACTGGACATGGGAAAAACTTTTTTCACTGAGTTTTATAAGTGGTCAGATCACCATAATTTTGAATGTTGATAAACACGAACAAAGTAACAAATAAGTAAGAACTGAACATAGTAATCTAGTCAATCTTCCAGTAGACTAAAAACTAGTCATTATGATCATGCTGCAACGTCCAGTCATGATTGTTTTGAATATGAAAGCATATTCTATATCCATGCTTAAATTGTCAATTAAATACTCTCAATAAAAGCGTAATTCAGTTGCAATAATTCTGTCTTCTCTATTTCCAGTATTGCCCTTAGATGTGCAAATCATAAAACCCGACTTTCCAATGATAGCTGGGAAGGGATACAAAATAACTTGTGAAACAACAGGATCCAATCCACCTGCTTACATTTCATGGTGGCTTGATGGAGAGAAAATTACCTCAGGGACACTGGATGCTGTTGTTGAGGGATCAAATGTCAGTTTCAGCGATCTTTCAATTGTACCCAAACCTGAAGACAATGGAAGAATCCTCACTTGCAGATCTGCTAACCCGGTTTTGCCAAAGAAAGCAATTGAAGCAATAGTTAACATGAACGTGAATTGTAAGTGTAAAAATAGCTTGAACATTTAAAAAAGAAATGTAAGATTTTTGTAAAACAGAGATGTACACAAGTGTAAAGAAACATCACCATTAATGTATTATGATGCATATCTTCTTTCTTTCATTAGTTAAATATTTGTATTGTCATAAAATTCGATTAAGATAAAATTAACAAAATTCAGAATTTGTAAAACTCTAATATTTTATTATTTTTAATTTGTCTCATTACCGTCATGCGAAGATTTTATAATATATGCATTATCACAGATTTCATATACGCTATATTTTTAAACATTATATTTTGGGGTAAATGACAAAAGTATGTTTGAAATAATATTAACATTTACGTATTTTTAATTTTTAAATTACGTATTTTTAATTATTTTATACTTAATGTTATTAAAATTACATACTTGTTTAAAAATTGTATTTATTCTCTAAACTGTTTTACCATATTACTTATAATTTATCTATGTTACCAATTTTTGCTTTAAAACTGTCTTTTTATTTTCTATAAACGTAGTCCTTTTTGAATTAATTTATGTGATATTTGTATTTATTACTATTTCTTACTTATTTTTTGTTCTACATCTTCTCAGATCCTCCGTTTTTAATATTAACCAAGAACGTTCATTCGGACATAAAAGAAGGAGATGATATTGAATTGGAATGTATAATCAAAGCTAATCCATGGATACACAATATCACTTGGATATTTGAAGATCATCCTCTCACAATAAATAATAATCTAAGTATTCTTATTATGAATCAAACTTTATTGCTGCAAAACGTGAAAAAAGAACATAGTGGGAGATATCGTTGCACAGCCTCTAATTTAATTGGTGAAAGTAACAGCGAATGTTTACAACTACAAGTCAAATGTAAGTATGAGAAACTTTTGTGTATCAGTAAAGCTTTTTATGACACTACACTTCGTTTTCAGTATATATCATGTAACGAGATTCGAAAGTTTTAAGCAAATGTTAACAAAAACTCATGTATATAAAAACAAACCCTTTTTTTAATAAAAATGTGTAGCCGTAAATACTACCTTTGTGTCTTAGAAATCGCAGTTAGTTAGAAATTACGTTAGATAGCACGATTAGTCGAAGCATAACGGGGATCATGCGTTTTCCTTCTGACCTCGGCGATCACTGGACATGATTGCCCAGCAAAGTTTTTTTTCTTTAGTTACCTGCCTATCAGCGGCCGAGCGGTAAAGTCGCTGAACACTGTAACTGTCGCTGAACACTGGTAAAGTCGCTGAATACGAGCTAGTTTCCCTCAGAAAGTCCTCCACGAAGGCATCCCTCCCTTTAGGCAGATAGCCCAAGTCTGCTTTGCCATAATTAAATAAACCAAACCAAACCCTTTAGTTACCACAAAATCTATGCATGCGACAATTTGGCAGTCTTGAATGCTAACCTTATTGCAGTGGTAATTAAAGCAGCAAGATGTGTTCGTCAAAAGCTGATTTGAAATCAATTTTGAGAGGAGTCAGACATATGGCTGAAATAATAATGAAACTTAAAAAGCTAAAAGCTAATGCAACTATGTTTTAGTAAAATTTGTTCGTATTTATCTGATAAAAGGCAGTATTCGTATTTATCTGATAAAAGGTTACACAACGAGATTTATCAATAACTACCATATTTTTGCATTTGCCTAAAGAGATAATAGATTTAAAACTGGTAAGAGAAGCAAACTTATTCCTTATTTTAGAGATGATTTTGAAATAAGTTTCGAGAGCAATCAGACATACGAGCGAAATGATTTTAATATGGAAAAAATGAGTGGAGCCAAGCGAAAACAAATGTAACGTAAACTGTTGAATAAAATAATAATGAAACTTTAGAAAGCCAAGGTATTAGAATTTTGAAAAGGTTGAAACATTAATGTCATTACTTAAAGAGAAGACTCAAATAAATGGAGGAGGAACTCCATGGAATGGTGGAAGGACTCAAATAAACCTAATTTACTACCTGAAGAAGCTTTACTTATAATGTTTGAAGATCGAAAGTCAAAATTATGATTAAAAGTTCCTTGATGAGAAGTTTCAACACTCTTTTAGTATGATTGATATATGTCAAACCCCATTGGCATGACAAACCGTGTTAAGTTAAAATTCAACAAGACACATTATAAATCCTATTAAGCTAAAATTTCACAAGAATTAAAATCAGGGATGACATCTGTAAGAACTGATCAACAAATTTAGTGATGGTTGCAAAAATAACCTGAAAACTGACTTTTGAAGAATCCGAACAGCACTGACATGAAACATTATGACGACAAAACTGTTAGGATTATTGTCATATAATCGATCCTTTGATCAATTCATCTTTGTCTGTTCGTTTTCCATCCACTTGTGAATGTTATTAGTCAACTCTATTTGCAGGAAATAAACTGGGACACTTATGCAGGTTTAATAATAACATGAGCTATATTTTAATTTTGTAAATACAGTTTAACTTTTCACAAAGCTTTTATTCACATTTACATCAAACGCACCAGTAATACATTGCATCTCTCAGCTCTTAACAAAAAAAGAAAGGACAAACTCTACTCTCGGAATACAGCCAAACTAATTTTTAAATTTTTTCTCACGAACATGCCGTTCTTCTCGCATCAAGCACGTTTCTTCTTCTCGTTGCCAGATATTTTCCCCTCTCCTTTCAGATAAACTGTTTATTCACACGAGCAAGCCGTTCTTCTCGTTGCCAGATTTTCTCCTCTCTCCTTTCAGCTATAAGTCTGTTCTTCCGGCAGGTTTGGTCGTAGCATAGAGTATGTGCATGACATGCCCTTGCCAAGAATGAAATTTGTCCTTTCTTTGGGACGTATTTCATTAATCAATATCCAAGCAAATTTTCTGTACATTACTTTTACACAATACCAACCTCGTACAGTAAAAAAAAAACAAAACAGAACAAGCAATAAATTATTACAATCATACAAATAAACAAAGAAAAAGAAAAAAAACTATCAAATTATATTAATCATATCATATTTGATCCATACGTGAGAGTGCATCTGCACTTTGGTGCTGAATCCCTGGCCTATGACTAATCCGTAAGTTCCATTTCTGCAATGCCAGAGCCCACCGACTCAATTTGGGACTTCGAGGAGTAGTTTCATTCAAATATCTGAGAGGGTTGTGATCCGTTATAATTTCTACCTGAGCCCCATAGATCCATTTATCAAATTTATTTCAGGCCAAATAAGACTGCCCAAGCTTCCTTCTCAATGCTTGCCCAATTTTTTCTGAGTTTGAGAAAGCTTTTGACTTGCAAATGCAATAGGACAATAGTTACCACTCTCGTCTATCTGGGTTAAACAGCAACCTACCGCCAAATTGGATGCATCACAATGGATCTGAAATGGCTTTCCTATATTTGGTGTGGCCAGAGATGTCACTTGGCACAAAGTATCCTTTAATTTGTTAAAAGCATTCTGTTCCAACTCCCCCCCATAGAACAATATTGGCTTGCCTCTTCTTCGTCAACTCTGTCAATGGTGCCGATATTTCTGCGTAACTGGGAATATAAGATCGATGAAATCCCATTAATCCTAAAACCGATCTCACATCTTTTTTTGTGACTGGCCTGATGAATTTTCTAATTGCTTTGACCCTTTCTTCATCAGGACCATGCTTGCCTCCTCCAATTATATGCCCCAAATATTTGATTTTTAGCTGCGAAAGTACATTTGTCCAAACGTACAGAAAATCCTAATTTTTCTAAAGTTTCCAGAACCAGAGAAATGTGTTTCAAGTGTTCCTCAAATGTTTTCGAGAAAATCACCACATCATCTATATATGCCTGAGCATAATCACTATGACTCTGCAAAGCACAATTCATTTCCTTCTGGAATGTCCCTGAGGCTCCTGATAAGCCGAAAGGCATTGTTCTCCACTGGTACACTCCATTACATGTTGCAAATGCAGTCAAAGGTTTGCTCTTTTCATCCATTCGGATTTGCCAATACCCTTTTCGAAGGTCGATGCTTGTCAGCCAGTTTGCTGCACCCGCCACAAAAATCAATTCCTGCATGTCTTTCATGGGAAATGTTGGAGTTTTTCGTTACAGCATTCAATGATCTAAAATCTATACACATTCTAACTGTAGCATCTTTTTTCGCCACACAAACTATAGGATGAGCAATTTCTGACTCAGAAGGTTCAATTAATCCTAATTCTAGCAACTCACGTATCTGCTCATCTACTGCTTTGCGGTATGCCATGGGTATTCCATAGCAGTGGGGTTTCTTCCTAATAGCAGTAGGAATAAGTTCGATCTTGTGTGTACCTACTCGTGCTGGTTGCACTGGACGTGTAAATAATGTTTGATATTTCCTCAGTAGCCCTAAAAGTTTACTCCTTTGGACTGAATCTAAATTAGACATTTCTAATCCTTCCAGAGATTCAGAAAAACTCTTTTCTCCCTTGTTGACAGGTATAGATTCAATTTCCCCAAACTCTTCTTCCCCCCCTCCAAGATAACATTTACTGCTTGGGATCTAACTACATAAGGTCTAATCTTATTCTGATGGACATGTCTTTTGGTCCCATCGGGCATTTGTACTACAAATGAGTGAGAACTTCTCTGTTCCAATATATTTGCAGGACCCTGCCACCTAGCATAAAGCTTGTTATTAGAATCGGGAATCAAGACTATCACCTTATCTCCCACCTTAAATGTTTTTATGGTAGACCTTAAATTATGATAGTGTGCTGTCCTCTCTTGTTGAATTTTAGCTGTGAGCTTTGCCTGCTCCGCTGCCTTCTCAAACCTAGCCTTTAGATTTTGTAAATATGTATAAACAGGAGTTGCATCTAATTGTAAATTTTCATGTTTCCCTGTCCATGATGATTTTAATATCGACAGAGGTCCCTGAGGTGTCCTGCCGTACATGAGTTGAAATGGAGCCACCCCCAGTTGTTGAGTTGGGTACTTCTCTATAGGCCCACAATACATAAGGAATTTGCAAATGCCACCCTCTACCTTCTTCTCTGATGACATGATGCAACATTCTTTTTAAAGTACCATTAAACCGTTCAACTAATCCATTAGCTTGAGGATATCCAGGGGTCGAAAACTTAGGACTGGCCCCTATTCGTCTCTCAAATTCTTGAGTCAAATCTGCTTTAAAATTTGTTCCATTGTCACATGCAATTACATTTGGAATACCCGTTCTTGAAAAAATATGTAATAACTCCTCACAAGTCGACTTGGCGGAGAGGCTAGTTAGAGGTATTGCTTCTGCCCATCTGGTATGCTGATCAACTAAGCATAATATATACTTATGACCCTTAGAACTGGGAGGATCAATCGGACCTATCACATCAATGTTTACAATTTGGAAGGGCAGATCTGGCCTCGTTACTGGGGTGATTGGTGTCCTATCAACAGTTTTAATTGGTCTAGTCAACTGGCACTCTTTACATGCCTCGCAAAATTTCTGAACGTCTAACCTCAGACCTTCCCAATAAAAAGAGTATCTAATTCTCTCCACAGTTTTTCTTTACCCCATGTGGCCACTAAACACCGAGCAATGTGCTAACTGCAAGACTTCCTCCCTTCGACTCTTAGGTACAACTAATTGCCCACACTTTCCCCAAGAATTTTGTCCTTATGAAAGAGAAAGTTATCCACTGTATAATAATTCCCCTTTCCTTTCTGAGCATTCTCCCATGCTCCTACCAGAGATTCACAAGTCTCCTGCTCTCTTCTAAATACATCCGCTGTACATAGTCTTCCTGGCTGAGGTTCTTGGCTTTCACTTGATTCCACCTTCCCTTTCTCATTGAGATTCCTTCCCATACTAGCGTTTCCTTCTAGTTTCCCTGTGTTTACCTTCACAGACTTTTCCTTTCTCCTAA